GGGGGGTGAAGGGGGGAGGTGGGGACAACTCACTCTCCACCTTGTGGCCACAGAGAGAAACTGCAGGAGAATACCTGTGCACCTCTAGAAAATGGTCTCAGGGTGCACTGTGTAGTTTTTGACCAGGTTTTCAAGGCTCAGTATTTGCCCTTTAAGCTTTTTGGAATTTGCTTCACTAGGAGGAAATTTCCCTTTTACAAAGAAAAAAATGTGGCTTAATATACATTTGCATAAAGTTCCTAATGAAATAGTAACCAACACACGAATTCACAAGGAACAGATATACATTGGTGGTTTTTAACTTAAAAATAAGCCAGTTAATAATTAGAACATGATATTTTCAGGAGAGATAATGGGTAGAGCATATACAGAATTAAAAGCATCGGCAGGGAGTAATTTTTTAAATCACTACTTGTGAGCGTAACAAGAAATAGTCAAGTGCTGAAAAAACAATCATTCTAAGTGGTCTTAGAATATTGACAAAAATTTTTTTGTCAATTTCAAAAACGACTCCTATCTGGAGTAGTTTTTTTAATATAGAGAAATTAAAATAAGATTCCTTTGAAACACAAAACTCTCTTGGCCACATGAAATACCACAGACACTTGAACAAAAGGGGTTTGAACTACGTGGGTCCACTTAGAGGCCGGTTTTCCAAAATACAGGACAGTATTGTAAGTGCATTTTTCTCTTACGATTTTCTTAACATTTTCTTTTCTCTAGCTTACTTCGTTGTAAGAATACAGTATATAATACATGTAACATACAAAATGTGTGTTAATCCACTGTTTCTGTTATTGGTAAGGCTTCCGGTCAACAGTAGACTATTAGTCATTAAGTATTTGGGGAGTCAGAAGTCATATGTGGATTTCTGACTGTGCTATCGGTGCCCCTTATGCCCAGGATGTTCAAGGGTCAACTGTATTTCTAAATAAAAATGCAGCTTGCAGTCTCCAAGTTTGGCTTGGTAACGTTCAGTTTTAATTCTAGGACTATCACAATTCTAAACCGTACCATGAAAGTCTAGTCTGTTCAGTACTTACATATTTATGCATTTTATTCTTCTGAGTTTCCCCTTTGTGTATCAGACCCAAGGACTCATGTGGAAACACGCTCACTGGGTTGCAAAGAACCACGGGGCTAGGATTTTACCAGCTCAAGGGCCACCACCAACGCCACCTTCCCCGCTCAGGGGACGTCCATGATGTACGTGCTAATAAAAGTGAACTATCTCCCTATCTTCGGCTTTGTTCTGGGCCTTTAAGGAAGCTGTCAGAGCCAGCTTTTTATCCGTCTTATGAATACATGCATTTATTTACAGTTTCCTGCTAGACTGTAAATTCCCTGAGGGCAGACTGGGTACCGAGGTGGGGAGGTCAACCCTGAGCTCAACATGCCTGCCGTAAGTTATCGCATTTAATGCTTATAACCTCACCAGGGAGAAGTTTCTCTTCCCATTTTAATCATTAGGACACTAAGGTCCAAAGTAGTCTCACTAAGATCTCGTAACCTGGGGAGACGGGGAGAGGGGGGCTCCGAGTGAGCTGTGCTTGACCCTATCTTACAAGCTCCTCCATACCCTCTGCCTTACAGAAACGAGGCCGTCCCTTCACCAGTCCCTCCACCGGGCTAAGCAAAGAGCAGGTGCCCAATACATTCACCGAGTAGAAGAACACAGAGCTGAGGAAGAAGTGTGCTGACGAAACAATTCAATTACATTTCCTTGTTGTAATGTGGACTTATGGCTTATTCTTGGCATCACAGGGACATGAGCACTTGATGCCATCGCTTTCAGTGACCTGCCATACAGGCCCAGGGACAGGACAACATGCAGTTAAATGCTATTGATTTTGTGGTGCATTCAGAAGTATGTGGCATGTCAATGCTTTCCATTTCTTTTGGTGTTGTATTCTGTCTGCATGAGAAACTATTTTTCATTCCTGGGGGATAACAGGGATCCAATTATTGTGAAAAATGAAAGAAAGCAAGCCCTTAGCTAGATTCCTTAGCTTTCAGATACTGACACTGCACTCTTCCTTTTATCTAAGCTGTTGCTTCATATGCCATTTTCCTAAGACAATGGGAGAGCTAATGGAACATCGTAAATGTCACTCAGAATTCCAATTTCGTATTGAAGCAATTTCTATCCGGGGAGAGAGAGAGAGAGAGAGAAAGGATTCAGTATTTCTGCTGAATAAGAAATTATTTCTGTTGAACTTTAGTAGCCTCAAACCTGTTTTATTATTCAAAGGAGAAGAGACACAGAACTGCCTAGCAGAATGAATTTATGCAGGTTCAAAGGTTTTTAGGGGGAAAAAAAAAAAGCAGAAAGTCAAAGAAACTGAAAAATTTAAGTTGTACTTCGACTCTCCATAGAAACCTGAAGTTTCTACTTAGTTGTTGGGAATAATGTCATTCAAAGCCCAAATTAGGAGCCTCCAATTTACAAATCAGGGTTTTGGCTTCTCCCGTTTTCCAAAGGGAGTTTGAATCACTGGCTCTCATGTAAAAGGCTGCACTGGTCTCTCTGATGAATACCCACTCGTGCATTTTTTAGCATAGGGGTGGGAGCACACTGTTTGCAGACATCCCCCCTCCTTTTTTTTTTTCCAGGGTAGATGTGGAGAAAGAAGAGTCAAAAAGGTATAATGCATTATCTACGCATTTAAAAAAGACCTGATTCTGGGAAGAAAATAAAGATTTCTGGAAAATTAAACAACCCTATGAAAAATAAAAAGATCTTCCAATTACAGGAAAGGCCCCACACTCCTGCCACTCCAACAACATGGCTGCGGTTCTCTGTGAGGCCAAGCCATGCGTCTAGGTGGCGGCCAAGTCTTCCATACAGCATGTGGACTTGATTAATTCACGGCCTGCTCAGCCTTGGTGTCTCTTCAAAATCCAATCTCTACCCTTTCTGAGCATCTTAGAGCTTATACACCTTATACAACCGCCATGATTAACTCTATACACCAGTCCCTTTGCCTCTAATATCCTTTGCCTCCAACTTTTCTTTCATCACCCTTTAGGCCCAGTGAAAATTGTTGTCTCCTTGGTGAAGCCTTCCCTGAACCTTCCAGGCAAGGCTGGAGGTCAGGACAGGGAATGCCAGAAGGAAGCATGGACTCCTGTCATATACAAAGTGTAATGACTGACAGTGCCCTTGAGGATGCTGGTGTTTGCCAACTAACAACACTGCGCAGTAGGACCAACGAGGATGCCAATTACCAAGGATCAAGTGGAGTGGTAAGCGGGTTCCATTTAGACAACGTGAATCTTTATGCATGGAGAACACCTAGAAAGCAATCTGTGTGCCAAGAGGTCCTCTCACTTATGCCTGGGAGTGCAGAGACATAATCAAAACTATAGGGTTCCTATAAACATGCCATGTTGGAATGTGTCCTTTGGAAAACTATGTCAAAGTAATTAATTTGAGCACAGAACAGGAGGGACAAGTGGGGGTGTGAGCAATGGCCCACAGGAGCCCACCGGGTTCCTCAGAAGGAACTAGACCTCACCATGATCGCTTTCTGTTCCCGATCGACCCCAGTAGCGACGCCTCCTTTCTGGGCTGTGTGCGTGTCGTTCGATGACTGCAGCTATAAACCGAGTATTGCTGACTGCGGGAAGCAAGGACAGTTAGTCACTCTGATGCCAGTATCTTTGTTGTATCAAGCACATTTGCTCTGAGCAGGCTCATTCACACGTTCGGGGGAGCTATTCTTTGGAGAGAGAGAATAAGTAATTTTTTTAATTGTGAGGATTAGCGGCAGTGAGAGGCCCCCTAATTACAGGTCTCCAACATGCATTAAGAAGATATGTTCTATAGAGTCGAAGGCCAAGGTATGTATCTCTAATGGAACTCTATTTTGATAAAGAAATACTCTTCCCCCACCACCCTCCCGAGGTATCTACATTTTAATACCCCGAGGGACTAAAACAATGTACGCCCGATGATTGCCTTTCTGAAATAATACTATGCTGGAAAGCAAGAAGGAGGAGAAAGAAAATGTAGGGTGAGGGGTTTTAGGCCAAAGCACTTCATGCAAAAAGGAACATCCTGGAATCTTCTAAGATTTTTCTAAAACAAAGCAAGCACCTACGCTTATTCCTAATGAAAATGGGGGAGGAAAAGCCCCAGTCATGTCAAAGATTCTGAAATTCTAATATAAGCCAAAAGGATGTAAGAAAGAGCGCATCGTGTGGGCTAGCCTCCTGCAGGCACATTCCACAGCGAGGCGGCTTCAGTACTCACTAATGCCTCTGTCCTCTCGGCTCTCATCATCCCTTTCGTCTCTGTCGTTCTCCAGGCTGGACATACGCACGGACATTTCTACCCATCATTAAAAAGAGAGAAACAGGACTATTTAATCAAACAAAATCACCCGCTTCAATACCCTACGGAGCGCTCGTTTGCTGGCTGCTGACAGCATTCCATCAAGAATGAGTCCAAACTTGGAGGACAATAAACTGATGTCCCATCTATTTTATTTTATTTTATTTTTAAGGAGGAGGGAGCAGGAATCAGAAGAGGGAGGGCCAGAAGTGAATAATCAAGAGAGGCACCTGAGGTTAACTTCTGAAGAAAGGAGAAAATAAACTGATAGAGGCTAATGGATCTTTAATTCTCTACTAATGTACCTGAAACAGAAGGCAGGGGTCTGAAGCCATGGCTGACTGTGCTGATGAAATGGGGTTACGAAACCCTATCAAAGGCCAGGTATAAGGTTTACATTGGATGATAGTCACATCCTGATCAAGGGGAAATCCTGGTACCCAAATCTTACCAGGGGGAAGGAGCTTTGTGATTAGCCCTGTTACTCCATCAGGCAACATTATCCCAAGATCTTCCCTCCTTCCCTCTCATCAGGATTGTGGCCACAGTGAAACAGTCCAACGCCAACCTGCCCACACTGCTGAGCAAAGTGGCTCCCGACCAAGTCCAGGAAGAATGGTGAGTGAGCCTTATCTCCATAAAGGTCAGGTTAACGTATTCCTGGCAGCTTTTAGGGAGGCTGGGGATGGCCATTCGTTTTGTCCTTGCAAACCAGCACAGATACCACATTTAACTGTTGGTATGGAAATCATGACTGCAGGTTATTCATTTTGTATCTGACTTCAATTACTTCTCTCATTTAAGAGATGTGATTATTGCTTTGAACGTGTTCATTCACAGTATGTAATAATAGCAGCAACAGAACAGATTCACGGTCTTGCCAATCGTGGCCTGGGGTATCTTTGCTCTACCTGCCTGGAACAGCAGAGACAGCACTCTGGAGCCGAGGGAAGAACCAAACTTCCCTCTCAGCATCCCAGCTCCCCTGACTGGCTTATTCCAGAGGCGGACTGTGGTAGGCTAAGAGGTAGGTAAGAGGTAGCAGAAGAGGAGAGAGCATCTAGGGCTTTTCTGGGTAATCAAAATGAAACTCGCAGGGTTTAGACACTGAAGAATGAGCCATGGGCTAAAGGAGGAAAGGAGGCTTTGGGGACTTGCAAATCCTACTCCACGGAAGCGGAAATCGCAGTGCTGTTCTTTTAAGTGCTTAGCGGCTTGCGTGATCGGTGGCTGTCCTTCCAGCTTCGGAAGGACACGAGGGAGGCTGCGGCCTCCTGGGGGAGCTTTGGATTCATTTGGAGCTCACCTTGGGCAGCCAGAGGAGACATGTGCTGATGACTCCGGCGATGAATCTGATGGCGGTAGGCATACACAGCAAGGACCAGGACCATGATGCAGCCCATGATGCCTCCGGCCACGGGACCCACGGGGGCACTTTTAATCATGTTCAACGTGACCACCTCATCACCTTTGTTCAAATAAACAAACAGATGTTCCTCGTAACAATTTCCCAAGTGTGGCAGGAAGTGAGGACCAGGGTAGGGTTTGGTGGAGACAAGGGCAGCTACTCTAAGTCTTGAATGCGTCAAAGAGAACCCACCAGAACATGGGAGTAGGGACTTCCTTTAATCCCTGGTTCTCAACTGAAATGTTGGTTGCTTGGCCCAGCAAGAGCACCCCTGGCAAGGACTACTAAAAAACCAACCAGACGAGAAGCACTTAAACATGGGCTGCCCAGGGCCAAGAGCCTTGCTCCCCAGGGTGTGGGCTCCTCTTGGAAGAGAAGTCATGTAGTACAGAGGTGAGGGCAACGCGAGCCTCTTAGCACAGATTTATTGTATCTGGTGTCCTTTATGCCAATGGATCTGTCACACGACCCCTAAAAAAGATCACATTTCAAAGCTTATGGATTCCCTTTAAAACACTATTTGTATCCCCACGCAGGAGACTGCAGGTGGACATATAAAGGGATGTCTTAGAACAAGGTCGCTTCGACTGTGTCCTCACCTGGTTCAGGGGTAATATGTGAGCTCAGGACCCTTCCACACCTAGGCGGAGCTTTTCTTTTGCAGACAGGTTAATGTGGGGAGATGTTAAAAAAAAAAAAAAAAAAGGTTTAGTAGCTCACCTGCCAGGTAAGCTTTAGGACCTTGAGCTAGCTCCAGAAAGACACGGAGAAAATCTTAGTGGAGGTAGGCAGGTGGAATTTTTGAGGTCTTGCAGCCTGATCTCAGACATATTCCTCCCTACTGGGTCCCTGTCCCTTACCCTAAGCTACCCAGACCACATTAGGTAGCTCTGGCTTCTGTTGACCCCAACACCTGAAGTGCAGATTTAGAGCCACAAGACTCCTGCTTTGCAAACATCATAAGGGAGGGAGGGCCTTAGCAGGAGACCGCCACGCACTGGTCACTCCACCCATCGCTGGCCCTGTTCTTCTGACAGCTGGGACTCACATTCAAACAAACGCCACAGTTCAGCCACGCAGAAACCAGGCCTGATGTTTCTCAGAACAAGCTTTATGGGAATGAATTCCAGGCTTGTAAAATTTGGCAGGAACCATAGCTGCTTACTCTGCACAGAATATCTAGCCAGCTTTGGAGGTAATGATCTGCCTTGGTTTTGTAACTAAAAACTACTGGCAAAGGAAACAGGAAAATAGGGTAGAGGATCATTTTTAAGAGTTTTGTCCTAGTGTAGAGGCCAAAAAAACCCCCAAAAAACAAAAAACGTATTCAAGAATCAAAACATTCCGGGTTCCCAACAAACATACCTATCGCTCCCATGTCATCCACGTAAGGACTTTTGGCTCCCACGATCCCCCCGAAGCATTCTTTCTGGGGTGCACAGTAGGATTTGTCCAGATGCGTCTTTCCATCGCTGTCCACCATGCACCATTCACAATCCAGGACACCAAAGCAGTCCCTGCCAGAAAGACGATGCTGAGTGTTCCAGGAAGCAGGGCTGGGCAGGGGACAGCATATGGACTTGGGCATCAGACAGCTCTCAAGAGCTCCATTACTTACTAGTGCTGTAAGTCCTCAAGCTTTAGTTTCCTTTCCTTATAAAAGAAGAATAGCAACAGTCTGCCGGGGGATAGCTGTTTTATGTCTCTCAACAGCTTGGAAATGAGAGAAATAAACCTGTTCTCTCTGCGGATCATACCACAAAATCCACACATCACAGATCAGTGCAGGATTATCCCAAATCATCTTACAAGACCAAATGGCCCCAAAGTTTGTTAGACTTTGGCCTGACCCCAAGTGTAGGGTCATTTAGAAGAAAAAAAAAAAAGGAAGGAAAAAAGGGTCAAATAAATTGGGGAAATACTAGATCAATTAAACAGGTTTCCTTACTGCCAATTTCTTAGAACTTTTAATACGTTAAGTGTATTATGACTTTCTAAGAGGATGTGTGCAGTGTTTCTCAAATTTAACTGATTTTGAGTTACTGCCTAACATCCCAAATTCATCTGATGCCCGACCATTCCTTTGCTAAAACATGCACTAAAAGTAGAACTGGCTGCCCCTTCCACCCACTGACTGTTTAATCAAATGGCTACCTGCAATCACAAGAAACAAATCACCCCACTCCCACCCCTGTAGTCCACCACAGCCACTATCCCCATGATGGCTAGTCCCAAACATCCTAGAGAGGAGGGAGAGGGAGTAGGGGACATGTAGTTTTTGGTTCTCAAAGCTACCATGAAGCCTATCTGCTTTCTAAGAAAGCAGAATCGATGAGCTATGGTGTGTCACACATAGAGCTGGGTTCTGCTTCAGGAACCCAAGAGTTCCTGCCCCTTTGCCCTTGCTTCTTCGGGCCAGGTCCCCTCTCATTCCTTTTACTCCAAGAGTAACTTTCCCATCCACAGGTGAGGTGACTAACGTGCAGTACAAATGCCAAGTAGCTACAACTACTTGGAAACTGGACAACATTAAGTCTGCTGGATAAAAGGCTCATA